TAAATGGCTTCATGAGGTAATTCACACCATTTACATGCTTAAAGTACACAATTCAGTGTTCTTAGTGTAGTCATAGGTTTATATAATCATCTCACAATTTAATTCTAGAACATTCTCATCTTCCCTAAAAGAAACTTGGTTCCCCTAGCTGCCACTTTCTACTCTTTGCACCCTCTACCCCAGCCCTACCACTGACCTACTTTGTTTCTATAGATTTGCCTGTCATGGGTGATTACCTTTTAATTGTCATTCATGGCCTGTTTCACTGAAATTCTTTTCATTTATTTTCCATTATTATAAGAACAAGAAAAATAAAATAGACCCCTCGAAAACATGAACAGGCATCACAAAAAATCGTAGCAGAGTAGCCAAAAAAGGTGTTAAAACCAACAGCAGCTGATGGTTTTAAGTAACCAGTCACCAAGCGGTAAAGCTGTGACAGTGACACACTGTGTATCATTTAATAAAGTCAAGTGCTAATAATTTTGAATATAAAATTGAAGCAGGCTTGGATTCCAGAAAATTCTTATGCTCACAAGAAAAGTAATATTTGCAATAATGAAATTTGCAAATTCAATTCCTGACTTGCTCACCAACTGCTTGACTCTGGGCAAGTAACAGAAGATTTATAAACTTCGGTTTCCTCATCTGTAACATGGAAATAATGATGCTGCTGACCTCATGGAGGTGGAGTGGAAATTAATACATACAGAGCTTTTAGAACCAAGCCTGGCACATAAGTGCTCAGTAAATGGTAGCTGTTTCATCACATTTATTCATCAGAATTCAATTATTCAAGCCACATCCCAAAATGCAAAAAAATTGTCAATTGCCTTATGCCACATTTCTTTGGTATTTCAAAGTCTCTATTCAAAAAAGTGTCCTGTCATGAAAGTAATGGATCAGGATTTAAGATCCTGTGATGTACAGACAGCAAGAATAGCATTCATCAGTGTAATTAGGAATCCAGCTGGAAACCAGTCAGTTGCTTTAGAACCATGTGTTCTATAAATAGTAAAAGAACTAATTTATTATTCTCAGCTCACACTCATGTATCAGATTTTCCTTTTCTGTATTAAAAGGAAAAATTACAGCAGTAATAAAGCTTATATAATGGCTTTATGCATGTCTAATAAAAAATAAAGAACAATGTTAGAGCCTTATAAACCACAAATAATCTCTTATACTTGAAATGTGTAACTAAGACCCTAAGTGTGTGACTTTTAAATCTGTGGCTGTGAACCGAAGTTGTAACTTGGTTTTGTTTCCATAAGTGTAAGGAAGCATAATCACTAATAGTTTCACTCCCTTCTCTTCAATTCCAATACAAAATGGCTTTGGCTAATAAGACTGATACATTAGATAATGTTATTCTTGAGTATTATGTATTTTCTGTTCTTTTAAAAAGTGATCAGTAGTATTATGTCCCAATCAGATGATTCATGATACACAACATTTTCATACTTGGGCAATGTTAACACATTACAGTCCTTCCTTTGTAACATGAAAGAGTTAATCACAGACAACACATTTTCATTTTCCTTTGACCCTTAAGACAACTTAATTGATCTGGTTTGCATGCAGCCTCATTTTCAGCCTTCAAAGGCCTCTACATTGTCCCTGTATCTACATTTTCACCCCAAGCTTTACTGCACTTGGCATTGTTTCGTATTTGCATGAAAATCTGTGAATTTTTTTTTGCATGACAAGTCCTCAGTAATGTTGAAGTTAAATGTCTAACATACCTTGCGATGTCACATGCCATTAATTCTTACATGATTTTTTTTTCTTTTGTTTTCAGTTACTGAAGTTTAAATATGCTTGAAATGTAAAAGTGGCATGAAACTGGAGTGATGCAAGAATATTTATTGTTCCTTTAAGGACTATAATTTTTAACTGGGAAAATTTGGGAGCAATTCCCAGCCTTGTCTTTGGATACCAATCCTCAATTATGAATGATGATGATAAAATTATACTGAACAAAGGTGCTGTCAGCAGAGTAATAAGTTCTGAAGTGATGCTTCTTTTTTCCTGAGAATATGTTTTTAGTATACGAATGTAAAGTTTATACTGATTGTCCCCAATTTCAGAAATTATTAAATATTTGATTTATTATTTTTTGGTAACACCTCTGTCATGGACATAAAATGAAGTTTCATTACTTGGGTGAAAGTTTCTACCACCCAAACAAGTAATGAAATACTTACTCAATGACAGCATCAACATTTTAGTACTTCAGTGTTCCCTAAATGAACATGATCACCAGAATGGATATTGGATATAGGGAGTGCATGAGTATATAAAGAAAATAAATTATGTACACCATTTTATCAATCTTCAAAACTACAAGGGCATATGACTCATCCACACCAAGACAAAACACACATCTCTGAATAAGCACCTTTTCTTTCCAAGTTGTCACCTTGCCGGCTCTGCATTTATTCCAACCAACTGTGATTGCCATAACCGTTTTAGAGAACCCCTTTTCAAATTATCTCAGAGTCTTTAGCAAATTCACTGTGATACCTACGTGGTAACAATTCTTGTTCCTTGAGGAGTGATTTTAATTTTTTTAAGAGGCTGAAAACCCCTCAGTGGCAAATCAGTCAAATAAGGAGAGTAATCAAGCTGGCGAAGCATTTTAAAAATGATATGTGAATATGAAATTAGCAAGACTTGCATGGCCCGTAGCCGGTAAAATGACTGAACATATTCCCAAAGAAGAGCCCAACAACCCATTTACATAATAAAAACAGCAGGGGAATAAATGAAATTTTCTTAAGGAGTCTTCCTGGCAAGCTATTCATTTGTATGCTATTCATTTATATGGATAAATTCTAATATATGTATCATTTTTAATTTAGCCTCATTAAAATAATGGAGTGGTTCATATTTTTAAAGACAGTCCTTCTTGCATTATTTTAATCTTATCAGATACTTTAATATAGATCAGTGACTGTCATTTTCCTCTTTTGCTGAGTGAATATCAAGTTGATATCCTTTTAGCAATAATTTTAACAGATTTTGGTTGACTGCCTCCTGGCTCACCAGCTAACTGCGATATTGCTATGAGACTCAACTTCTCTATGCCTCTGGCTCCCTACATACAAAATGAGAGAGCATGGGGATGGGGCTAAATTATCTTTAAAATCTCTTTTGGATAAAAATGAGGTTTTTTATTTTTTAAGAGACAGAGTCTTGTTCTGTTGCCCATGCTGGAGTGCAATGTCCCAATCATAGTTAATTGTAATCTCCAATTCCTATGCCCAAGCAAGCCTCTTTCCTCAGCCTCCCAAGTAGCTGGGACTATAGTCATAAGCCACCATACCTGGCTAATTTTTTTATTTATTATTTTTTTATAGAGACAGATGTCTCACCATGTTGCCCAGGCTGATCTTGAACTCCTGGCCTCGAGAGGTCCTCCCACCTTGGCCTCCCAAAGTTCTAGGATCACAGGCAAGAGCCACTCTACCCGGCCTAAATAAAAATGTTATAGTATAATTATCAAATGTCTGTGCATGACACTATAATTATCCTATATCATAAATGTACAATGTATTGTACAAGACATCTAGACACTGAGAAGAAAATTAGTTTTTCTAATCAAGTTTTCTCTACCCGATGATGATCAGATGACATTTGTGTTCATATTTATATTATCTTGTGTGAGTCTCCTGACCTCTGAGCTGCTGTCATTATCCAGATGAAAGACATTAAGGCTCAGAGAGAGATTCAGCTACCCAGGCTGAGGGACCAGCGAGATGTACAGCCAGGACAAAGACTCGGGATTTCTGCTTCCAATTTAAGACTCTTTTCCTCCATCACCATTATTTGTCACCAGTCTTTTGATTGGGTGACAATTTTTCACATGTGCCATCATTCAGAATTTGCACTCCTGAGAATAAAATTTGCCTCTGGAGCCCTGTGGCACCTCTTTAGAGCGTCCGCTTGCGTCACTACAGCTCTGTGCTTTTACAAACTAGTTGTTTTGTCAGCATGAGTGTGACAACAATTAGACGTCCCCTGTTTTTGCCCCATGCCTTTTCTCCTTCACAGTCATTCAATGACAAGCGTAAAAAGAGCTTCATCTTTTCACGAAAATTCCCATTCTACAAGAACAAGGAGCAGAGTGAGCAGGAAACCAGTGATCCTGAACGTAAGTAGATTCTCAAAGATAACGTCACATGCAACACAGAGAAAAAACTCTTCACGGGCGACACGCATGATGTAGGCCGTCCCATGCCACACGCCTAGGCAAACAACACGGCAGGCAGGCAGGTCAGGTCTACTACTGTGACCAGTGTTTGACTGCAGTCTGGATCCTTCCTTTCACGTGGCTTTTGTTGGCAGAATGCACTGGCGAGGGACTTGGTGAAGCTGGGACTTGCTTCCAAGCAGTGTTCATCTGCAACCAGGACTGTGTCTGGTTTGCCTTTCCGATCACGCAGCTCTCTAGGGCTTAAGACAAATTCTTTTCTGACTAGAAATACTGGATCCCACTACCACGTATATTTTTTGAAATGCTAGCTAATTGGGAACAGTTAAATTACCTTTATTGGTCACTAGCCCATTTGCTCACTCTTTCCCTCCCATCTGGTGTTAAATGCGTGCTATGAAGTGAGCTCGTGTTGGTGGATACTAAACCTAAGAATTTGTTATGAAATTCAGAGAGGATTATTCCTCTACGTTTCTGTGACATTTCTGTGGCAACATTATTGACAGTGGACAAAAACGGCATTTGCTACATCTTTTTAATTGTCTTCTTACAATTTTCTACTTAAGCCTCTTGAGTTGCTTTGCAAATCAGAAATTCCTTCCTGAGTCTCAGTCTAGGGACTTTGGGGGTGAGAATCGTTTTCAAAGCCGAGAGCGTGGGATCCAGACTGTCGGGGCAACACGGTCTGTCATGGTAGTATCCGTGTCAACTCCACTGACTTCTTCCTTCCTCTTCCGTGGCTGTTCTTCCTCTCTCATTGCTCTCTCTGGGGACTTCCATGCAGGACATCCCCGGATTAGGTGACGACGGTTATGGGACAAAGACTCTGAGTAAGTTTCCAGGAATGGTCACTGTAACTTTTCTTTTCTTTTCCTTTCCTTTTGAGTTTGGCTTTTGTTCCTTTTCTTGAGGGCCTCTCTCTCCTAGCATGCACAAGATACGAGTTTGATTTGTTACTAGCTGTGAATGCTCCTACAAAGTAATTTTCAATCGTTTTGTTCTGCATGTCAGCATTTAAAAGCAAAGTGTGTCAGGCACTCTAACTTCTGTTGCAGTTAACACCATCCCTTTCTGACCGTGGGTCAAGATCAACATGGCCCTGATGCCCACTGGCGCATCACTTGCTCTGCCGCCTAGTACCACCCAAAGAGCAAGAAACCATGTTGAAAGAAAGGGTGAGCTAAGCGTTCAAGTACAGCGAAGTAGAAATGTATTTTATGTTCTTCTACATTTTCACATGGAAAATTTAATGACCTTGCCAAATTTCATAATTGGGTTATATTTTCCTATCAGTAAAGGAGCTATTTTGCAGTCAAAAGGAACATGCATTCTCAAAAAGTAGATATTAAGCTATTTGATCTTCTATGAATAATTCTTTGTTATTAACGTTGATTGATTTTTTTCTGACTTGCGGTGATCCTGCTTGAAACGTTTGTATAATAAAGTTTTAGAGATGTATTAATATGTCTTCCTATCAGTGAATTATTAGCTGCATTATATAATCAGGTCTTCATTTTCTAGTATAGAGTGAAAAATAACATATACTAAACCGTTACCTTTTCCAGTGATTCACATCTTTAATTTGTGTCTCATTGCACTGAGCAATTAAGAAATAATTATCTTATGTATCATCATATTATACTATGATTTTTATTCTTTAATTACTAACCCCAATTGTGTAGACACCGATGAAATAAGAACAGATTATTGTGTGTTTTGCAAATGTATCACATGTTCAATTTTTTTGTTTTCTTTGTTTTACTTTGACAGCTATGGGCAACATTTTTAGAAGCTGTTCATTTCCTTTGTATGAAACACAGTACTGTTGAGCTGGACTTTGTTTTCAAGGGCTGTTTCTATAACCCTGTGTAATGATACCCTTTATAATTCAGGTTGCTAATTTGGAGGATTTTTTTAGATACATAGAAATATAGAAAAAAATACGAACAAGAATACTAATCTCCTTAAAGATGAAAACTTTATTTTTGAGCCACTGTGTGGAAAATAATATGAAATTTTTCTTGAATTAATGACTGAAATTCAAATGCCAACTTCCATGTTGTCTGGGTCATCTCAAGCACCACTAGGGAGAATTGTAAGTTTCCAGTTTGGGAGGGAAAGAAACATTTTTGTTAAAAATGCACATCACTAAAAAGTAGTTGCTATTGGAGTGTCAGAAATATGAGTCATACTCTTTTAAACCCAAACTGTGCAAATGTTTGCTTACTCTTTAAAAATTAAACAGATTTTGAAAGTAAAAATACCCCAATTCAAGATGCTTAAAATAATAATGTACATGAAGATACACTGTTGTTGAATATGTGCCTTGACTTTCAACAATAAAAAAACAGATTTGCACAGATTCATCCACACTCCCTTCCCTAGAGCCCCTTTGCACTTAGAAAATGTGTCCCCACATTCATGATGTATTTCTGGTTAAAGGCCAACACAGAGAGAAATGGTTTGTGCGAATTTAACCCATGTTTGGTTTTCATTAGATTCATGCTCTTCCAGTGCATGAAATCTGTCCAATTGGCAAGAGCATATGATATCAAAGATCTTTCAAAGCACTTCTTTTTACTGAATATATGTTATATATTTTTTCCTCTTTCTAAAAATATACAATAGTTGTCACTTTTAAAAAACATGGAAGTTACTGTCAGTGAACTTCAGATAGGTACATGCTTTCCATTTAATTAAAGTGATAAAGAAATTGATAAGCTGATGAGTTTATCTTCTACAGCTTAACAAAGTACAGATGAAAGAAATGATTTTGGAAATAAAACCAGTAATTCTGGCATACAACGATATGCCATATAACAACATATCATACTTTCCTATTATTAGCTAAACTCTGTTTGGATGAAAAAACAACTTGGAATATCACTGTACAAGCATGTCTTCAACATGAATTAAAAATGTTTGTCATGCCAGGACCCAGGCTGGGTATCAGGCCATTCATTTCCTGCCTATGCCATTTCTCCAGAATTCAATAACTATCCGAGCAAGGATCATAAAATAAAAACAGGGCAATGTTGAACTAATTCATACAACATTTCTTAGTGACTTGTTTCTTCCTGCAACATTTTCTACTCACTCACTAAAGCTGAAAAGATTTTCAAGAATCTCTTTCAGCCTAATAGTAGTTTAAGAAATACTTCAGAAGAAGTAAAAGTCAAGGGATTCCAAATGGCAATGGGCAATTTGAAATAAATGCTCCTACACAAAATGCTTAGAGGCTAAAACAGAGAAACAAAAAAGCCTACCCTCCCCCCCCCAAAAAAAAACAGTATCTACACACCAGGAGCTCCTGAACTGATAGTCAAGAAAACAGTCAAGACACACTTGCCTTTATTACACAAATTTGGGAAATCAGAACCGTACGACTAGATCATAGTATTTAAGAAAAGAAAATTGCCTAGGTTGACATTACACATTTTTTTGCAATTAAAGATACTTTTCTCAGTTTTTCAAAAAGAAGGAACAACTATCCAGCAGCAGATTCCTGTAAAATGAAGATAAAGTTTTCATCTTCTCTGATCTGAGTTTTCTTAAGGCAGTCTCGTCTGCGGCCTCCTACTTGCCTTTGCTCACATTCTAGTAGCCTTGCATGAGTGTACTCCTTTCGGTCCTGGCTGCTCTCCAATGCTTGGGATCTCTTTAATTTGCTGTGCTGTTCTTGCAGAACATGTTTCTTCTAATGCCAGCGATAGCGAAAGTAGCTACCGTAAGTGACTGCTTTGGTTTGCGGTTTTCTTTGCAATTGCCCCCATTGCCTGTGGTGGTCATTTCAGATTTCTGTTGTTGTTGTTGTTTTTCAATTGCTGCCTTTATCATCCTTATCCAAAGCAAATGGCTTGAAATGAAATCATCATTTGCCCATCACCAGTGGGCCCTTCTGTGATTTGCACTGGCAGTAGCCGTCTTGCCAATAAACAATTCCAGCCTCATTTAGTTGTGATCCAGTGACTCCCTTCTCACAGGGAAGGCATGTGAAAACTTCAGCATGGTGAATTTTGACATTCTAACCACACATACCCCAAATTAATTAAACTCCCTGCAGAAGGGTTGAAAAGTCATCATGCTTTAATTTTCCTTTTCATGCTTCCCTTTACAAAAGAAATCTTTATCGATGACAGTGTTCCTTTTAAATCAGGTGTGAATCTTTTACTTCACTTTCTACCTGGTTGATCTTTAAGGTAGATACCATAATATATCTAACTTTATTTTTGTGATGATTAGGGAAGTAATGAAAAAGTTTTCAGCCTCTAATGTTGAAGGAACTTACATTTTTTTTAAAAAAGTGAACACTCTTTTGTTGTTGTTGTTGTTGTTGTTTTTGATTTTTTTTTTTTTTTGAGACAGAGTTTCACTTATTAACCCTCGGTAGAGTGCTGTGAAGTCACAGCTCACAGCAAACTCCAACTCCTTGGCTTAAGCGATTCTCCTGCCTCAGCCTCCCAAGTAGCTGTGACTACAGGCACCTGCCACAACGCCCATCTATTTTTTTGTTGTTGTTGTTGCAGTTTGGCCAGGGCTGGGTTTGAACCCACCACCCTCGGTATATGGGACCGGCACCCTACTCACTGAGCCACAGGCACAGCCCAAAATGAACACTTTTATTGGGTCAGAAAGCTTAAATGAAAACATATATATCTTTTTAAAAATTATTTCTGGTCTCTATTTGGTCACTGCAAGCCATTTGCTTAGTGTATGAAAATGTTCACCAACACATCCTTTTGATTAGTGATCGTGGTTTCTCACCACCTCCTTACTGGTTTTTGGTGACTAACCTAGGTACAAATTATTACTGGGATCCTTACAGTTTTTATGATATTAATATGTATTCCTTAGTGAAGTGGGTTACCCAAATAGCAGTTGCCACAGGTATTAGAAAATCATAGGCCCAGTGCATATTACCTGCAGAAATTGGTATTATCTTTTACTTGAATATTGCATTAATGGAAATATGGAATTGTTTAGGGTCCCTGCCCATTTTTGCCTTTCTGAAGTGGAGTGCCAAACAGTGTTTATGTCGTAAGATATGCAATTTAGATTTTGAGAAAGGCTTTGGAGAATCATTTTTGTGGCAGGTAGGAAAAAGACACAAAAGAGGAAAAATGGCAATAGAAAAAAAATACAAAAAAAAAAAAAATCATGGCAGATGGAGGTGGTGCCAGAGGAGGAAAATGATACAGTCCAAGGAATAAACTGAAAAGAACTGAGATGAGATGCCCTTGATCAATCACATAATATTCGAACCACCTAATTGTCTTACTGATGAAAGTCTTATTGACAGAAAGAATTCCATCAAGTCTTATTGATGGAAAGATTTAAAATGTTCCCGTTCCCTACATGGTCCTTGCATTTTTATGTTCTTCCTACTCCTATAATTTTATGATTATCCTAACTTCAGAAAAATGTCTTATCACCTCTTTTCATTTGATTTTAAAACAAGAACCCAGGCCAAGAAAACATGACCAAAGTTTGCCTTCCTGACACCTGAGTTGCTCTCAATTTAATATGAAGAAAAATAGAACTTATTTGTTGGGTCTCATGAAAACCAGAGATACTAGTTTCATTGATGTTCAGCTTTAAATTTTCAAGTGTTATACTTCCATCCAGCATTCACAGATACAGAAAAGGGAAAATCATGCCTTGTTCTAATCTTTTATATAGAAAATATATGCTGTACAAGAAACACACCTCTGTAGAGTATTCTAGACGTTCCCGTTTTATTTCAAGGGTGGAAATATTTTTCCCAGAACTATTAAGTTATAAAAATTGAGCCAAGGCTTTCAGCTCCTTTTCAAGCTTTTGAAGTGATGCT